CTGAAGGGATGAGGGCTCCAGGGAAAGCTAGAGAGGAATCATGCCCAGGTAACAGATTCCTAAGAGCTGACACTAAGAGACGAGGCCTGTGGATAGGGGCTGAGTCTGTAGAGAGAAGGGGAAGTTGCTGAAAGCGTGGATCTGGTAGAGGCAACAAATAGCCTGGATTTGCTGTTAGGTTCTGAGCTGTGAAAGCCCTGAGCAGCCTGGTTGGGTGAGTGAAAGGGCTTAAAGAAATGTGGAAGGCCTGACCCATCCTGTCTGCCTCACTCTGTAGATGGAGAGTTTGTATATGGTGGCATATTCCTGGCAGCAGTTCATATGACTTTATTATATCCTAATTGTCAGCATTTATTTTGACCACATCTTTAGCATTTGTACAGATATCTCATGGGAGGAAGAGGACTCAAGTAAAATGATTTATAGGTAACTTAAATTAATGAAAACATTTAATAGGGGAGTTAAATAATTTTCCTTTGAATCATATCTATCACCATTGTTATTGTGACCCTGAATATTATTTTCACAGGAAGTCGGAATAAAATGGGAAAAACTCTGGGGTAAACAGAGTTGGCTGCAAATCCTGCATGCTGCTTTTGTGTCTATTTTCTGGACTTTCTGAGCCTCAACTGCAAAATGAGTATGATGCAACACACTTTATGGTGTTAATATGAAAATTTAATAAGATAGGGTGTATAAGGTGCTTAATGCACTATTTAGCATAGAACAAATACTCAATATTTGTAACCTTTCATTACTTTCATGACTGACTCTCCTTATGCCCTTTCTACGAACAGTATCTTGTATCATGCCATTAAATATTCTTCATTTGTAATGTTTGAAGAAAATTTGGGCTTTTCATGGGGAGAATGATTTTAATAGTTTTTTAATTATTTTTCTCCAGAATTGATGACAGGAAAGGCCAAATTGGGAGTTCTGGTTTTCTTTCCTATAGATTTCTGTGTAAAAAAGAAATCTATGTTACATGATTTATATCTATATAGTTATCTTCTGATATTTGGATAGCAATTTTTTTCTTTTTCCTCTTTTTTTTTAGGTGTTAAGGAGACTACTAGGGGAAAAGGGATAGTGAAAGTTTAAAAATCAAGCAGAACTAAAAAATTTTAAATAAATAAAAACCAAGCAGAACTTTTAGGTAAAGCCTTCTGATTTGAGATGGTTGACAATCAAATTGGCCAAAACTAAAGTTTCATTATATTAGGTGATGCTGGTGGGAATTTAAATTTTTATATGCACCGATTGACATTTCCAAGTTGCCAGCTTCTCCAGCACCCATTCTTTTGGGGGACAAATTGACGGGATCAAAATTTAAAGTGCTCATACTCAGCAGTTTTATTCCTTGGTATTTAAATGTGGTACCTTGCATGTTTACAAGGATATTTGCTGGAACATTGCTTGTAATAGTGAAATATTGAAAGCATCCTGAATACCATCAATAGAGGAATAGATTAGAAAAGTAAGTTATCTTTATACTATAAAAATACTACGTGGGAATTAAAAAGGGTAAGGTAAATCTATATGTGATGAACTCTAAGACATGGTATTGAAAGAAAAAGAAGCAAAGTATATGTAATATGTCATTTATATATTGTAAAAACTGTGTTTAAGTACAGACATATAAATGTACCAGGGAAGGCCCAAAGAAGATACTTATTAATCTTACAAGTGTCTACCTCTTAGCAAGGGGCTGGTACAGGGTAGGGGTCCAAGGAAATGTAAGCTTTATCTTTGTTATTTGTACTTTTTTATTAAATTTTTTTAAATTTTCGTAAAATACACATAACATAAAATTTACCATCTTAACCATTTTTAAGTGTCCAGTTCACTATTGTTAAGTATATTCACATTGTTTTGCAACCAATCTCCAGAGCACTCTCTTCATCTTGCATAACCGAACCTCTATGCCCACTGAACAATAACTCCTGAGTCCCCCTTCCCCAAGCCCCTTGCATATACTAATCTACTTTCTGTCTCTATGAAGGACTAGTATAGGTACCCTATATTAGTGAAATTATACAGTATTTGCCTTTTTTTGACTGGTGTATTTCACTTAGCATAATGTTCTCAAAATTCAACCATTTTGTAGCATGTGTCAGAATTCCCTCCCTTTTAAAACCTGCATAATATTCCATTGTATGTATATACTGCATTTCATTTATCCATTCAGCTGTTGATGAGACTTAGGTTACTTCCATCTTTTGGCTATTGTGAATAATGCTATGAAAATGGATATACAAATATTTATTTGAGACCCTGCTTTCAGTTATTTCTGGTTTATACCCCAAAACAGAATTACTGGATAATATGGAAATTCTATTTTTAATTTTTTAAGGAACTGCTATATTTTTTTTCCATAATAGCCATATCATTTTACATGCCCACCAACAGTGGCACAAGATGTCCAATTTTTACATCCTCACCAACACTTGTTATTTTTTGTTTTTTTTGATAGCACCTATCCTAATGGGTGTAAGGTGGCATCTCAATGTAATTTTGATTCGCATTTCCCTAATGGTTTGTGATACTGATTATCTTTTCATGTGATTGTTGCCACTTGTATGTCTTTTTTGGAGAAATGTCTTTTCAAGTTATTTACCATTTTTTAAATCAGGGTGTTTGCTTTTTTTGTTGTTGAGTTTTAGGAGTTCTTTACATATTCTGGATATTAATCCCATATCAGATATGATTTGAAATTTTTTCTCCCATTCCATAGATAGCCTATTTTACTCGTTGTATCCTTTGTTACACAAAAGTTTTAAATTTTAATGTAGTCCAGTTTATCTATTTTTGCTTTTGTTTCCTGTGATTTTTGTATCATATCCAAGAAATTCTTACCAAATCCAGTGTTATGAAGATTTTCCCCTATATTTTCTTCTTTTTAATGTTTATTTATTTTGAGAGAGGGAGAGAGAGAGAGAGAGAGCACGCACAAGCATGGGAGGGGCAGAGAGAGGGGGGCAAGAGAGAGAGAATCCCAAGCAGGCTCCACACTGTCAGTACAGAGCCTGATGTTGGGGCTTGATCCCACTAACGGTGAGATCATGACCTGAGCCAAAATTGAGTCAGGTGCTCAACTAACTAAGCCACCCAGCCCTGTGTTTTCTTCTAAGAGTTTTATGCTTTATCTATTCTGTTTAGGTCATTTGATCCATTTTCAGTTCATTTTTGTGTATGGTATAATATAAATGTCCAGTTTCATTCTTTTGCATACAGATATCCAATTGTCTCAAGATCATTTATTGAAAAGACTGTTCTTTCCTCTGCTGAATGGTCTCAACACCCTTGTTGAAAATCATTTGATTATATGTGAGGCATTTTATTTCTGAACTCTGTTCTGTTCCATTGGTGTATATATCTGTCTTTATGCCAGTACCACACTGTTTTGATTACCTTTGTTGTAAATTTTGAAATCAGGAATTGCTAGTCTTACAGCTTTGTTCTTCTGTTTCAGGTTTGTTTTGGCTCTTTGGAGTCCCTTGTAATTCCATATGAATTTTAGGGCGGAGTTTTCCATTTCTGCAAAAAAAAAAATCATTGGGATTTTCATAGAGATTGATTACATTTATTTTTTTTAAATGTTTATTTATTTTTGAGATAGAGAGCACATGTGAGCCGGGGGAGGAACAGAGGGAGAGGGAAAGAGAGAATCCCAAGCAGGCTCTGTGCTGTCAGCGCAGAGCCCCGTGCTGGGCTAGAAATCAGAACCGTGAGATCATGACCTGAGCCAAAATCAAGAGTTGGGCCCTTAACTGACTGAGCCACACAGGCGCCTCAGTAGGGATTACATTTACATCTGTAGATTGCTTTGGTAGTGTTGGCATCTTAACAATATTACATCTTCCAATCCATGAGCTGTTTGCATTTTTAAATAATCCAGATATATTGGTGTACTATTTGTGTGATCAAGCATAAATAAACTTTTTAAAGGAGCTGTTGGCAGAGGGAACTGGTAAATTTCTTTTTTTCTCTTTCAGTTTTATTGAGATATAATTGACATTCATCACTGTGTAAGTTTAACGTGTATATCATAGGGGCACCTGAGTGGCTCAGTCAGTTAAGCATCTGACTTCAGCTCAGACCATGATCTCACGATTTGTGGGTTCGAGCCCCGCATTGGGCTCTGTGCCGACAGCTCAGAGCCTGGACCCTGCTTTGGATTCTGTGTCTCCTTCTCTCTCTCCCCCTCCCCAGTCCGTACTCTGTCTCTCAAAAATAAATAAATGTTAAAAAAATTAAAAAAAAAGTATATCATAATGGCCTAAAGTGGTCAAAATGCACAAACCTCCAATTATAAGATAAATAAATACGGGGGTATTACATACAACATGACTGTAGTTAACACTACTGTATGGTATATTTGGAAGTTGCTAAGCAAGTAGACCCAAAAAGTTCTCATCACAAGGGACTAGTAAATTTCTAATGTCAGTTCATGTGTCTTTGCTTGATCTCATGTTCCAATTTTTATAAATTGGCACTAGTTCTGGAGGCAAAAGCATAAATTAGACATTAGGAGAGAGATGATTATTTGACTGTAGGTGTTCATGACAAGAAAAATGTTTGTGGCTGAATAAATTAAACTGAAATTGAATTAAATAGTTTATTGTTTTTTTAATGTTTATTAATTTTTGAAAAAGAGAGAGACAGAGTATGAGTGAGGGAGGGGCAGAGAGAGAGGGAGACAATCTGAAGCCTGAAGCAGGCTTCAGACTCCAAGCTGTCAGCACAGAGCCTGACCCAGGGCTCAAATCCATGAACCATGAGATCATGACCTGAGCCGAAGTCGGACCCTTAACCAACTGAGCCATCCAGGTGCCCCTAAATAATTTATTGTTAACAAATTGGCTTATTTAGACATGTAATTATATTACCTAAGCTCAGATACAGTTTTATCTTGCATGTTTTGCTCACTGTCATTAGTCCCATTGATCTAAAACCAGTTATTCTATTCATGCCGTTTAAAATTGTGTTTCATTGAACAGAGAATTTGTTGGGTTTGATTTAATGAAGATTATCTGTGAGCGTTTTAAGTCATCAGAAGATATTGGAAAAGCTCTACTGCTCCACATTGACATGCTTTTACAAAGAAAGGAAGAACTGCTTGCCAAGGAGAAGATTGAAGAAATCATTATAGGTCAGTAGGATTTCTGCAGGTTTTAGAAAGGTGTTAACATACATATAATTCTTAGAATAGATGTCAGAACAGTGGCAAAATTCTTAGGTCAGAGGATCCATTTTTCTAACTTCCTTTTTTTCTCCCTAATCGCCATGAACTGTAACACCTCACGGATCCAGATTCCACATGTTCAGCAAGCTAGAATGAGAAACTAAGCAGAAATAGCAAAACAGCAAAAACATACAAACCTCTGAGCTTAAATCCTCCTATGTAGTGAAAAATTGTGAGATTAGAGACCTAATATCATGATTTCAGTGTGATCTCAAGTAAGCTGTGTGCCTTCTGGCAAGTTAATAACATCTCTGGATCTTGTTTTTTTCTAACTATAAAATTAGAGGTTGTGAAATACATTCCTATCTTTTTTTAAGTTTTTATTTATTTATTTTGAGAGAGAGAAAGCACAAGTCGGGGAGCAGACGGGATGGGGGAGGGAGAATCCCAAGAAGGCTCCACACTCCATGCAGAGGCAGATGCAGGGCTCGATCTCACCAATTGTGAGATCATGACCTGAGCCAAAATTGAGTTGGGTGCTTAACCGACTGAGCCACCCAGGAGCCCCATTTTTTTTTTTTTTTTGCATTCCTGTTTTTAAATTCTTTTTTAACCCCATGATCCTTTCTTAATGCAATCTTATTTGAATCCTGTCCCAAATAAAAGATTAGAGTTTCTGTTAAAGCAGAGATGTAGAACCAGATTTCATCATTTCCCTGACCCTCTATCTCTCTGCAGATCTCTATACCTTGAAGAACACAGATAAGTATGATCCCTTTCTTAGAAAATTCTCACCCCAATACATCCTCCCAACTCTACACATATACAGAGATATAACAGGAGTGATAGTAAATCTTGATACTGGGTTGTATTCTGAGTAATGGTGTTGTAGGTGACTTACTGCTTTCTTTATATTTTACCAGATTTCTTGAATTTTTACAAGTTTGTATCATGTTTTTATAAAAACATAATCATTGATACTTTTTAAAAGGAAATATTTTGAGTAGATAATCTCTAAGAACCTTTTGAACTCTAGATTCTGTGAACCATATTTTACTGATAATACGCTCCTTGCAGACCCTCACTAAGTATCCAGTTATTTTTAGACCCAATTTTGATAAGTTTGATTACCTGGTTTTCCAATCCTTAGGATTTTTTTAATGTTTATTTATTTCTGAGACAGAGAGAGACAGAGCATGAGTCGGGGAGGGGCAGAGAGAGAGGGAGACACAGAATCAGAAGCAGGCTCCAGGCCCTGAACTGTCAGTACAGAGCCCAACACGGGGCTTGAACTCAAAAACCGTGAGATCATGACCTGAGCCAAAGTCGGTCGCTCAACCTACTGAGCCACCCAGGTGTCCCAACCAATCCTTAGGATTTTAATGGTAGCATATTACAGAGAAAGGGTCTACAGGGAAATACACAGATAATGTGACTACAAGGAAGGAGAAAACTCTACAAATTTTATAAATCAGTTTCAAATACTTTTAATTTAAAATAATTTTTAAAAAACAAAAATCTGTACTATATAATAATTCCCAAAGGTACCACTATGATATGTTAATAGTACAGTAAAATAGAATAGTTGTTACTGTTGACCTTGAATGAGCAAATGTTAAATTGTGCTTCAGAAAACTAGAAAGTATATTAAAAAAAAACATAATTTATAAAACATAAATTTTAGAAAAATTAAGAACTTTAGTGAAATAATTTAGACTTTTAAAATAAAAAATCTTACATTTAATGAAAGTTAACTGTCACATTACTAGAAAATGTGTTCATCCAAAATGACTAATTTTCCTAAGATTATAATTAGCCAGTTTTGTTGTGATACCTAATTATAAACTTACATTCTCAAAGTATATTTTAAGTAATATTTTAAGTGTAGTATATTCAATAGCTTTTCAGTCTCATGTGAGTTATTTTATCTAAGCCATGGAACAAATTATGTCTGCTGACTGGGCTGGGGCATCAGAGATTCTTAGTGTTCTTATTAAGAGTTTTGTGGAAATTGATAGTGCCAAAAGGGTAGAAGAGAAGGGACTATAGAATTCTATTACAGTTTAAACTTTACCTTAATCTGTGCTAATGTATTTGAGCCCTGTAAATGTCTAGACCAGAAACAATCAGACATGAGTTACAATTTAAAGTAATAAAGTTTATGTGTAAACGTCGTCTTAAAGCATTTTACAAAGGCTTTAAGGTATAATTGGCCTTTCTTGTGAACTTGATCTGATCTTGTTAGTACATAATAATATAAGCAGTTCTTATTAACGATTTTTAACATTGCTGTCTGTTCATTCACAATAACATTAAAGCACCAGATGATGATCAAATTTGGAACATGGAAAATACGTTAAAAAGAGACTAGGCTGGGAAACTATCACAAATTGATAGAAGAATTACTGTGATTATAGCAAACTCTGATTGTATTATATAATCAGTTTTGCTAGTAAATCTAAAATTGATGATGAGAACCTGTCTGAATATGATTGTGTTTGTAGCCATTACTTAAAGATTATAGGTTCTGAATATAGTTAGCACTCTTCATTTAATGTAATAGATCTTGATTTTTGTTTTTAGAGCTTGGGTTTTTATTTTCAGGTCACCGAAGAGGAAGAAAACTGAAACCAGAATTAGTGAGCTGTTTTCACAACATTCTGTGGCAGAAAGCTGCCAGAAGTTTTGAGGTTTGGGAGCAATCTATTTTCATTCTTTATCTTCTTTCTCTAATCTAACAAATAAGTGTGTTCACTGAAAAATAATAGAGCATCAAATACTTGAATAATCTCTTTGTTTAGGTACCACCTATGTATTAAATATTCATAATGTAGAATGTTAATGGGCATTGGATAAGAATTTATTTAAAGCTACTAAGATGTGGTTTATCCCCATTGGGAGCTTACAGTGAAGGGGAAATGACATATCTGATATTAAGATATAGGAAAGTAATTTATTGTAACATGATGAGCAAGAAAGAGTTATATTCCCTTTTAAAAAAACTGTGATTTAGAGTACAGGGGATTTGTAGGGCAATGAAAATATTTTGAATGATACTATGAAGATGGGTACTTGTCATTATACATTTGTGTAAGCCCATAGGATATACATCACCAAGAGTGAACCCTAATGTAAACTATGGAATTTGGGTGATTATGATGTGTCCATGTAAGTTTATCAGTTGTAATAAATGTACCAATTTGGTAGAGGATGTTGATAATGCGGGAGGCTATGCATGTGTGGGGGCAGGAGGTATATAGCCAATCTCTGTACATTTCCTCTCAATTTTTCTGTGAATCTAAAAACTCTTGTTTTTAAAAAAAATTTTTATTAACTTATTTATTAGAGAGAGAGAGCTCACAAGCTGGGGTGGAGAGCAGATGGAGAGAGAGAGAGAGAGAGAGAGAGAGAGAGAAAATCCCAAGCAGGCTCCATGCTCTCCATGGAATCCAACACAGGGCTTAATATCATGACCCTGGGATCATGACTTGAGCCGAAACCAAGAGTCAGACACTCAACTGACTGAGCCACCCAGGTGCCCCAAACCTAAAACTGCTTTTTAAATAGGTATTGTGCAATAAAAATGCCAAAAAGTAGTAATATTTTTTCTCTTTACAAAAGAATCCAGGTTTATTGTAGAAAAATTTGAAACTTCAGACAAGTTTTTTTTGTTTTTGTTTTGGAAAGTAAAGAATACGTGTGCCTGGCTGACTCAGTGAAACATGTGACTCTTGATACTGGGATTGTGAATTCAAATCCCATGTTGAGTGTAGAGCTTACCTTAAAAAAAAAACTTAAGAATACTCAAAAACACAGGCAGTAATTTATCTGACATTGGTGGTAGCAACATTTTTCTAGATATGTCTCCTGAAGCAAGGAAAACAAAACCAAAAATAAACTATTGGGACTGCATCAAAATAAAAAGAATCTGCATAGCAAAGGAAACAGTTGACAAAACTAAAAGGCAATCTTTGGAATGGGAGAAGATACTTGTAAATGACATATCCATTAAAAGGTTAGTATCCAAAATATATATAAAGAAGTGATACAACTCAGTCTCCCCGCAAATAATCCAGCTAAAAATGGACAGAAGACATGAAGAGACATTTCTCCAAAGAAGACATCCAGATGGCCAGCAAACACATGAAAAGATGCTCAACATCACTCATCATCAGGGAAATGCAAATCAAAACTATAATGAGACACCACTTCACACCTTTCAAAATGGGTAAAGTAAAAAAGATGAGAAACCACAAGTGTTGGTGAGGATGTGGAGAAAAAGGAACCCTCTTTCACTGTTTGCGGGAATGGTACAGCTGCCCTGGAGAATGGTATGGTGGTTCCTTAAAAAGTGAATAATAGAACTACCCTACTAACCAGTAATCACACTACTGGGTATCTATCCAAAAAATATAAAAACACTAATTCAAAGGGATGAATGCACCTATTACTGTAAATAATAACAGCATTATTTACAATAACCAAATTGTGGAAGCAGCCCAAGTGTCCATTGATAGATGAATGGATAAAGAAAAAGTGGTATATATATACAATGGGATATTAATCAGCCATAAAAAAGAATGGGATCTTGCCATTTGCAATGACATGGATGGAACTAGAGAGTATTATGCTAAGTGAAATAAGTCAGGCAGGGAAAGACAAACACCATATGATTTCACTTATATGTGGAATTTAAGAGACAAAGCAAGTGAGCAAAGGGGAAAAAAAGAGAGACAAACCAAGAAACAAACTCTTAACTATAGAGAACAAAATGATTGTTATCTAAAGGGTGGTATGTGGGGGGATAGGTGTTTGTAGCCATAGGTGAAATAGGTGATGGGAATTAAGGACTGCAGTTGTCATGATCAGTACTGGGTGATGCATGGGATTGTCGAAGCACTGTATTGTACACGTGAAACTAATAGAACACTGCAAGGTAACTACACTAGAATTAAAATAGAAATAAAAACAATAAACAACCTAACTTTATACCTCAAGGAACTAGAAAAAGAATAAGCCCAAAGATAGCAGAAGGAAGGAAACAACAAAAAGCAGGAGCAGAAATGAATGAAATAGAGATTTAAAAAACAGTAGAAAATTTCAGTGAAAATGAGAGTTGGTTTTTTGAAAAGATAAATGAAATTGACAAATGTTTAGCTAGACTAACCAGGAAAAAAAGACAGCAAACTCAAATAAAATTAGAATTTTATTTGAGAATTGAATCAGTAATCAAAAATCTCCCAATGAAGTAATTGATAGTATTACTTTTACTGATAGTATTGATAGTATTACAATTACTTCATTGATAGTTTGGAAGAATTCACTTCCAAACTAATTTTACATGGCCAACATTGACCTGACAAAGCCAGACAAGGACACTACAAGAAAAGGTAACTACAGGCCAAAATCCCTGATGAACAAAACCCTCAACACAATACAAGCAAACTGAATTCCACAGCAATTTTAAAGGATTTTACCCAATGACCAAGTAGGATTTTCCTCTGGAATGCAAGGATGGTTTAACATCTGCAAGTCAGTAAATATGATACATCACATTGAACAGAATGAAGAATAAAAATCATATGATTATCTCAATAAATGCAGAAAAAACATTTCACAGAATTCAGCATCCTTACATTATGAAAACTCAACAAATTAGGTGTAAAAGGAATGTACCTCAACATAATAAAGGCCTTACATGACAAGCCCACAGGTAACATCATACTCCATGGTGAAAAATGGAAAACTTTTCATCAAAGATCAGGAACTATACAAGGATGTTCATTCTTACCACCTCTATTCAACATAGTATTGAAGGTCCTAACCAGATCATTTAGGCAAGAAAAATAAATAAAAGGCATTCAAATTGGAAAGGAAGAAGCAAAATTGTGTTTACAGATGATGTAATATTATATATAGAAAACCTTAAAGACTCCACCAAATAAAACTGCTGAAGAAATTCAGTGAAGTTGCAGGATATGAAATCAATATACAAAAATTAGTTGCCCTTTTAGGTATAATCCATGAACTATCTGAAAAAGAAACTAAGAAAACAATCCCATTTAACATGGCATCTAAAATACTTAAAAATAAATTTAACCAAGGAGATGAAAGATCTGTACACTGAAAACTGTAAGACATTGATGAAAGAAATTGAAGACACAGATAAATGGAAAGATATCTTGTGTTTGCAGATTGGAAGAATTAATAGTGTTAAAATATTCATACTACCCAAAATATCTACAGGAAAACCTGTCATTTGTAACAACACAGATGAATCTGGAAGACATTATGCTAAGTGAAGTAAGACAGACACAGAAAGACATATACTGTGTGATCTCAGTTTATATGTGGAATCTAAGAGTCAAACTCAGGGCGCCTAGGTGGCTTAGTTGGTTGAGTGTCCACCTTCAGCTCAGGTCATTATCTTGTGGTTCATGAGTTCGAGCCTGCGTCAGGCACAGCACAGAGCCTGAAGCCTGCTTTGGATTCTGTGTCTCCCTCTCTCTCTGCCCCTCCCCTGCTTGTGCTCTGCCTCTCTCTCTCTCTCTCTCTCTCAAAAATAAACATTTTTAAAAAATTATAAATAAATAAATAAATAAATAAATAAATAATTCAAACTCCTAAAAACAGAATAGAATGGTAGTTATCAGGGTTTGGGAATTGGGGGAATTGGGGGTATGTTGGTCAAAAGATACAAACTTTAGTTTTTTAATGAATGAGTTACAGAGACCTAAGTTACTTCATGATGCCTATAATTATAATAATGTATTGTGTACTTGGAATTTGCTAAGAGAATAATTTTTAGGTGTTTTCACCACAAAAAAGGTAACTATTTGAGGTGGTGGATATGTTAATTAGCTTGATTGTGGTGATTATTTCACAATGTATTCATATATCAAAATGTCTTCTTTTACTCCATAAAATCAGGTACTGCAAAATAGAATGGCATTCTTGTTTTCTTTTAGAGGGCCTGTATTTCTTTACTGAGCAGATGTAAAATTACTTCAGAATTCTCTTCTATTATTCTGTATCCTTCCCCTCATTTTCCAGTCTTGCAGGATGTTTATTTTTAAACTCCCACTTCCATCCCTGGAGAAGAATATAATCTTAATTCTAAATAGTCAAAGGCAATGTTGGAGCTACACAGTATAGCTGTTTCCAGTTGAAGAGTGTTTTATTCCATTTGGGTCCTAATGGCTCTTGTTCTTTATTAAAAAATGTGAAGCTTCATGATAGAGGGTCCAAGGGACTCATCTTCCTTACCTTAGTGTGCATGAGCAATCCGAATTTTCTTAGCTTAAAAAAAAGTTATCCAGGTTATTTCTATCATTTTTCCTAATGGTGTCTTACCACTGAAAATTTCTTGGTGCCTCAAAAGTGAAAAAAAAGCAAAACAAACGTTCTACAAAAACACAGTGGCATTTTATTATAAGAGTGAAAACCTAGAAATCAATGAGATATCCAATATTAAGAAAATCATTGCGTATTAACTTAATGTAAATATTCCTTAAATTGACAACTGTTGAGACCCCATAATAACATAGTTTAACATTTACAAAACAAAGTCAAATGGAAAGAATAGGACATGAAACTCTAACATAAGCTATGATTGCAACTATATACAAATACAGAAGGACAAAGTTAAAATGGAATGTAGAAAAATAAAAACAGATGTATTAGCATGGTGAATTATGGATATTCTCTTTTAAAATTTTTTTTTTCAACGTTTATTTATTTTTGGGACAGAGAGAGACAGAGCATGAACGGGCGAGGGGCAGAGAGAGAGGGAGACACAGAATCGGAAACAGGCTCCAGGCTCTGAGCCATCAGCCCAGAGCCCGACGCGGGGCTCGAACTCACGGACTGTGAGATCGTGACCTGGTTGAAGTCGGACACTTAACCGACTGCGCCACCCAGGCGCCCCTCTCTTTTAAAATTTTTATCACTGTCATTTTAATAACTTAAAAATTAGATTTTGAGTTTTCTAGGGTAGTTCATTACCCCTCAGACTTTTCATCCTACATGTGACGTTTCTTTTTAAAAATTTATTGAGGTAAAATTGAGAAAACTATATATAAGTGTACAATATGATTTGGTTAGGTATATGTATACATTGTGAAAGAGTTCTAACCATTGATTTAATTAACATATTTGTCACCCTTTTCTGGCGAGAACACTTAAGTCCTACTCTCTTAGCAAAACTCAGTTATACAATACAGTATTATCAGCTATAGTCCCCATATTATACATTAGATCTTCAGGCTTTTTTCATCTTATAACTGAAAGTTTGTACCATTTTACCAACCTCTACCCATTTCCCCTACCCCTTCCCCTCACAACCACTATTGTACTCTCTGTTTCTATGAGTTTGACTGTTTGTTTTCAGATTCCACATATAAGTGGTCACATGAAATATTTGTCTCTTTCTGGCTTATTTCACCTAGTATACTAGTCCTCCAGGTTCATCCTTGTCTCAAATGGCAGGATTTCCCTCTTTTTTATGGCTGAATAAGATTCTATGACATACATATACCATATTTTCTTTATCCGTTCATCAGTAAATGGACACTTGGGTTTTTTTATAGCTTGACTAATTGTGAATATTTAACATGGGAGTACAGGTATCTCTTTCACATAATGAAGTGGGATTGCTGGATCATATGGTAGTTCTAATTTTAATTTCTTGAGAAACCTCGATACTATTTTCCATGGTGATCCTACCATTTTACATTCCCACCAATATCATACAAGGTTTCCCTTTTCTCCACATCTTCACTAACATTTATTATCTTTTGCTTTTTGATGATAGCAGTTTTTGATGTGAGATGGATGACATCTCATTGTGGTTTTGATTTGCATTTTCTGAAAGATTAGTGATGTTGAGCACCTTTTCTTGAACCTGGTGACCATTTATATGTCTTCTTTGGAAAAATATCTATTCAGATCCTTTGCCCATTTTTAAATTGGATTTTTTTTTTTACTATTGAGTTGTAGGAGTTCTTTGTATATTTTGGATGTTAACCCTCTATTGACTATGTGGTTTGCAGATATTTTCTCCCATTCCATAGGTTGCCTTTTAGTTTTGTTGATGGTTTCTGTGAAATTTCTAATATGGGGAAAGGAGAGAATATTGATTGCCACTTTATCTGTAACTTACACTGATCCAGATGGATCATAAAATTTACTTATAGCTCAACTAGAGAGGGTGTTGTGGTTTTGTTGCCTGAAAAGGAAAATAAAACAATCTTTTGTTTTTTTTCTAGAGGTGACTTAGAAAAATTAAGGTCAAATGTGGAGATACCTCTGTAATTTTCTTATTTCTTTTTAAACTTCAGGTACAAAATTTTCTTATTTCTTTTTAAACTTCAGGTACAAAATTATGCTGAAGCCCTAAACTGGTACCATTATTCTCTGAGATTTTATGCAATCGATAAAACGGATCTGGACTTGGCCAAGCTGCAGAGGAATATGGCTTCCTGTTACCTGCATTTGAAACAACTTGATAAGGTCCTTTGATTTATCTATTTTTCAGTGGCAGAAAATGTCATGTGCAATGGCAGAGAGATAGACACAGTTTGGTGTGACATCTTGGCTATTAGGTTAGGATGTCTGAGAGTTTCTTCATATAAGATAAACTCAAATTGATATTTTCCTGATTGGGACTTCCCAGAAGGAGAGAATTAGGAAAACCATTAATTCCATTAGTTACTGGGGGAGGGGGGGGTTGGCACCTTTTTCTGAAAAGTAATATATCATTGGAACTTTTAAGCAAAGTTGTCTGCTACTAACCATTTGCAACATTGTCCTTTGAAACAGACTAAATTATAAGGTATGCTTTTATTGGTCAAACATTCAGTGTGGGAAAATACTTGTATAAAATGGTCTTTTACTGACTGGGTAACCTGTTGCCTATACAACCACTCTAGAAAATGTTTAGCATTTGATTGCTTATCAGGACAAAATTCTAGGAGGTGAATGAGAAAACAACTTATTTAAGGATAAACCATTCATATTTCCCAAAGCAATTGGGACATTTCTTCCTTTGGGTATCATGTAGTATGCACATATTGGGGAAGGGTATTGGCTTGTGGAAGAACAGGTGAAAAGGACAAGTGTGGACCCAGATAAAATATGAAGGCCTTTGTTGCTTTTCAGGTTTTAATGATAAGTTTAGGGGGGAATATGTGATTAAGGGTTGTAATTCCAGACATTTTCTTTGAGTTTTTGTTTACTTTGAGGGGTTGTTTATTTGACTAAATACTTCAAATTTTCTTTCAAAAGGATATTTACCATTTAGTTTATATATTCAAAATTCATAGTTCTAGAAGAGAAGTTGAAATGTTACTTAGTTCATGATATTTCAGCACAGGCTAGCACTTAAGTGTTTCAGAAAGACAGTTGACTACTGTTTACTGAAAGTCCTGAAAAAGTTATCACACAGATTTTGTTACCTAATTCATTATATTTCTGCATAGGATACTATTAACTATTTCAGACCGATAGTTGCTTACTGCTTACTTGAAGACTTAAAGAAGGTGATAAGAAAGTTACTGTAACTTCCATGATTTATGTTGGCCTGGCAGATTGCGAAGGACCTGCACCTGGAGCCAGACATGCCACTTGTGGGGAATGGTTGCATTTTCACACCAAGGAAGGATATCTGTTCAGCTAATACCAATGGAAAGGGCTCAGCACAAGATACTATGATAGCCTATGAGGTTACAGACGTGAACAAGATGTAGTTGCCTTTGATTCAACCAAGCAGTTGGCATCAGGGTATCTTAATAGGCAGATAAACAGATCATGGCAAGGAAGAAAATCTAAGTGTTGGAAATATTCTATAAGTTAGGCATGCAAATAGTTGGTATCATATATCAGCAGGGAACAGGTCTTCAGCCATAGAGATTTGGATTCAAAGGCAGAACTCAAATCTTTATGTAGACAGACTAGAAAGAGCAAGGTAGAGTTCCAAACCTAAAGGGATGAGAATACAAGGCTGTTTTAAAGGTCAGGAATAGCAGGCCAGGCTGGGATGCAGTTCCTAGCGGAATATGAAGTGAGTAGACACAATCTTTTAAGACTTGAAGCAGTGCTTCTTCTTTTTTTTTTTTTAAAGTAATCTATACACAATGTAGGGCTCGAACTCAAGACACTGAGATCAAGAGCCACATGTTCCACCAATTGAGCCAGCCAGGCACCTCGAAGCAGTGCTTCTTAAGTCTCCTCCAACAAATGTGAAGTTTGATCCTAGAGCCTAATGTAGGACTTAGTCTATAATTTGGAGTTCAAATGGTATTGGTAGAAGGGGAAGAAGAGAGCAGGAAACCAGGCCCATCCTAATAGTGTATGTTCAGTATGCGATTATATCACTTAAGGCCAGATTGGTGGTGAAGCCAAAGGTTATTTTCAGTATGATCAATGTAATCTTGTTTGATTACTGTTAGTGTATTTTTCTCTTTCATCCTTCCTGTCTTGAACTTAAACATTGATTTGGTACCCTTCATATGTAAGGAATACTGTCCTATGCACTAAGACAGAAAGGTGAAAAGAAGTAACACAGTCCATTATATTTTACTATTTTACTGTTCCCACCTTGTTAATTTTCATCGTCTGCTTTTTGTTTTTCACTCCTTCCCTTGAGCTGTTTGAATGCTATTCAGGAAATTTATGAAACCATGTTTATTGGATCTGCTAAAATTTCATAGTTTTTCAGCTAGGCACTCTGTAAAACGGACTCTTGTTAACTTTCTGTCATATTCCTCACAATGGTGATTCCAGGATTTTTTTTGTCTTTAAGCCCCCATACCTTACCCTTCCCTTTATCAAACAACTTTATCTTAAAAAAAAAAAAAAACTTTTATCTTGTGGCGTGCCTGGGTGGCTCAGTCAGTTGAGCGTCCAGCTTTGGCTCAGGTCATGATCTCATGGTGTGTGAGTTCGAGCCCCGTGTCGGGCTCTGTGCTGACAGCTCAGAGCCTGGAGCCTGTTTTGGATTCTGTGTCTCCCTCTCTCTCTGCTCCTCCCCTGCTCGTGCTCTGTCTCTCTCTGTCTCAAAAATGAAAAAATAAACATTAAAAAATTAAAAAAAAAAACTTTATCTTGTAAGTGTCTGAACTTGGAGCCACTAACATGAACTTCATCAACTTCTCCTTTCTTTACTCATCTCTTTACTCTTTCTTCCTTATGTCTTAGAAAGAACGTTCTCTGGAAACCTTCTCTACCAATCTCACTTTAGCTCTTTAATATTTTTCTCTCAACTATTTCTTTCCTTGTCACTACAGTTATTTTGAGGTCTTTTTTATTCAGAAACCTTTCTTCATTCTTGTCATCCTACTCAAATTACAGTTCTCTCTTTGTCCTTCCTTTTTTCACCAATATTTTTAACCTAAAATTAATGCTGACATTTTTTTAGTGTCCATTTATTAAAAAATGTTTATTGACTATTATACATTAAGTACTGTCCTAGGCATTGGAGTATAGTAATGAACAAAGTAGACATAAACACCTATACCCATGGAGTTTATCGTTCTACTAGGAGAGACAGACAATAAAAAGATGAATATTATGGTATATTACAGAGGTCAACAAATTTTCTGTAAAGAACCAGTTAGTAAATATTTTAGGTTTTCTAGGCCATACAGCCTTTGTTGTAAATACTCAACTCTGATTTTGTACCATGAAAGCAATTGTAGACCATATGTAAACAATTTGGCATGGTTGTGTTGTAATAAAACTTGCTTAGGAACACTGAAATTTGAATTTCATATAATTTTCATGTGTAATAAAATATTATTCTTCTTTGGAATTTTTTCAACCTTTCAAAAATGTATAACCCTTCTTAGTTTGTGGACTGTACAAAAATAGATGGTGGTCTAGAAGTGGCCCAAATGCCATCGTTTTCTGACCCTGTTATATTAAATAGTGGTAAGTGCTAAGGAGAAAACTAAGCAGGAAAGGGTGGCATTAAATATTTTAGAAGAGGAATGAAAGGTTGAAATTTTAGATAACAGTGGCCAAGGAAGGCCTCAGGGAGAAGGTGGCTTTTGAATAGAGACCTGAGGAAGTGAGGGATCTGGCTATGTGGATATCTGAAAAAACAGCAGTCCAAATAGTGGGAATTCAAAGTGCAAAGGTTGTGGGGATAGGAGCATACCTGGGGTATTTGAGGGATAGCAAAAGGACTAATGTGGCTGCAACAGAAGTAATATTAGGAAAAGCGGGAGCTGTGATCAGGGAAGTAGTGGGGAAACAGATCCCATAAGAAAGACATTGTAGTTCATTGTAACGATTTATGTCATTAACTCTGAGTGAGATGGGAAGCTATTGAGGGGCCTTGGGCAGAGGAATCACATGATATGACTTGCATTTTAATAAGATCACTCTTACCACTGTGTTGGATAGACTAGGGTGGGTGCAAGGGTGGAAGCAAGGAGACCAGTTTGGAGGCCATTGAAATAACAAGGCAAGAGATGAGGTGGCATGGACCAGTGCAGAAGAATTGTGGATCAGGATCAGATTCTGGATAGATTATAAAAGTAAAGATGATAGAATTCCCTGACATACTAGACAGGGTAGAAGAGAAAGAATAGACAAGGCTGACTCTAAGGTTTTTGGCCTCACCACCTACTCCCCACTTGATTTTTACATCTATGATTCTATAAACTGCTCTTTTGAAGACTAGTGACCTTTTAATGATCAAGTCTAATCTTTTCTCAGTCCTTCTTGTCTTCTAATCTCTCTAGAACAAAACAGTATAATACTGTCAACCACTTCATCCTTCTAGAAACCTTCTCTTTGGCTTCTATGACATCTTCTCTTAATCCTATTTATTATTCTGACAGTTCTTTCTCTATTTCTGTTACTGTCTCTTTTCACCAAATAAATATTGGATGAGGGCAAGTACTATGTTTATCCTGTTCACTATTTTATCCCTAACACCCACAACCATGCTTTCAATAAACATTTGTTGAATGAATTTATTCTCTGATCTCTTTTTTTTCTTCTGTACACTCTACCCTCAGTAATCCGTTTTAGTTCAACTCTTCATTCCCAAATCTGTATGTCTAGCCCTGATCTCTCTCATAGCCCACATTCACTTTTTTACTATCTTTGGGTATATCCAGCTCTTGTCTAAGACTGAAATTTTAGATTCATGGATTCCTTCTTTTCTATTCATCATGTGCCATGTCTAATCAGTTCTACCTCTGCAATATTTTTGCCAGCTGACTCCTCTTCCATCTTTACCTCACTATTCTAATCCAAGCTTTCATCACCTCTATGACTATTAGAATAATATTTTAACAGTTACAGGGAGCCACTCGAGTCTTCAGTGGCTCCTTGTAAATAAAGACCAAATTCCTTAGTTCTAATGTCCTCCAGAATCCATAAATAACGACTCTGTTTTATTTCCATTACATGTATACTATGTTTAGCCTGAATTGAATTATTTGTAGCTTCCTAACCATGCTCTATGCTTTTCTACCTCTGTATCCTTTTCCATGCTTCTC